TTTTGCTGAGCCTCCTTTTTAAAGGCTCTCTCTGACCTCAACTGACCTGGTACTCACTGTGTAGACCAGGCTAGCCTTGATCCCACAGGGATCTGCTTCTGCCTCCAAAGTGCTAGGATTAAAGGCATATGCCACTATGCCTGGCCCAAAAGAATTCTTTTTAAAATTTTATGTTTATTGCCTGCATGTAGGTAAGTGCACCTGTGTTGTGCTGTGCCTGTGGAGGTCAAAAGAACTGCAGTACAATTAGGTGAGCCAGTTCTTCAGCCCCAAAAGACAATTCTTACTTTTATGTTAAATAATTGTTTTTTTCCATACCAAGTACTTTCTCTTGGAGTGAAGAAAGATAATTCTGTGACTACTTCTGGGGTTAATTTTTCTCCCTGTATTGCTACTGGGGATCCAGATCCAGGGAAAGCATTCTAATAAGAAAATTCCACAGTCCTCTTTATTTGGGAGGATGGGGAGCATGGTTTGAGTTTGTAGCTTATCCTGACATGTAACTTTGGATCTTACTGTTTTTCTTCATGAGTGCTGAGATTATATGGCACGTACCACCACACGAGGCTCAGAAGTTTTAAACATCACTTAGGTTTGGTCAGAATTGTTAAAACTATAGTTGTGATATGAGAGCCCTATAAAGTAAGAGTAAGTGGTTCTTTTTTGGAATTTAATGGGTTTGTGTGTGTGTGTTGTGTGCGTATGCATGCTTATATTTATCCTTTTGGTGTTCTGACCAGTTGTCTTTTTTGTAGGATATTAGCAGCTCTATGACCAATAGCACAGCTGCCAGTAGACCCCCGGTTACCTTACGACTGGTGGTTCCTGCTAGTCAGTGTGGCTCTCTCATTGGAAAAGGAGGTTGCAAGATCAAGGAAATAAGAGAGGTTGGTGACTTTTGTGCTCCTTTTAGAAATATTTCAAATGTCTGTTGTTTATTTATTTATTTATTTAGAGATAGACTCTCATGTAGCTCTGGCTGGCTTGAAACTCTGTAGACCAGGGTAGCCTATAACTGCCTGAGATCCACCTACTTCTGAGTGTTGGAATTAAAGGCACTCAGTGGGTGGAAAGTTTTAAACTGGGCTTGGTAGCTCAGATCTGTAATCTCAACTGTTTAGGAGCTAGAGTCAGGAAGGCTGTAAGTTCAAGGCCTGCCTGTGCTACAGAATAAGTTCAAGGCCAGCTGGGGTAATTTAGGAGATCCCATTTTAAAAAATTAGAAATTAAGCCTTTAATCACAGCATTCAGGAGACAGAGGCAGGCAGATCTCTTGAGTTTAAGGTCAGCCTGGTCTACGACCTGAGTTTCAGGACAGCTGGGGCTGGGCTGTAGGGAGACCCTGTCTCAAAAGAGACCAAAAATGAAAAAAGTTGGACATTAGACCAAAAAAAAAAAAAAAAAAGTTGCACATGTTAGACCCTGGCTTCAGTCTCTTACCACCCTTCTTCCTCCACGATCACGTATATATAACAATACTGGAATTAAAGTATTATAAATTGGTTGTATTTTCTAAAGGATTTATATGTTTTTATTTTATGGGTGAGTGCTTTGCCTGCATGTATGCACCACATGTATGCTTGTTGCCTGTAGAGGCCACTGTAACTGGAATTACAGATAGTTATGACCTATGACCTGTCATGTGGGTGCTGGTAACCAAACCCTGGTCTTCTGTGAGAGCTCTTAACCACTGAGCCATCTCCTGGCCACCATACCTGGCTGATTTTTTTTTTTTTTAAACACAATTCCTAGATTTAAATTTTGTGGTGCGTAAGATTGGTGCCCAGAGTCTCATGAATGCTAGGTAGGTGTTCTCTCACAGGGATATTTCTCAATGGTCCCCTTCCGTTTCCCTTTTTTTTTTTTTTTTCTTTTATTTTTTAATACGGGGTTTCCCTGTAGACCCAGCTGTCCTAAAACTCACTATGTAGACCAGGCTGGCCTTGAACTCACAGGTCTGCCTAAAGACAGTGTCTTTCGTTTTCATTCATCAACTTTTCCATGGTGTTTTTCATATCTAAAGAATTTACTTAGAGGGCTGGAGAGATGCTCAGCAGTTAAGAGCACTGACTGCTCTTGCAGAGGACCCGAGCTCGATTCCCAGCACCCACATAGTGGCTACAAACCATCCTTAACTACAGTTCCAGAGGAATCTGAAGCCCTCTTCTGACCTCTGTGGCATTGCACGACACGGGTGCACTCACATACATGCAGGCAGTGCACTCATACACATAAAAAATAAAAGTAATATTTTTTAAAAAATTTATGGGGTTGGAGAGATGGCTCAGAGGTTAAGAACACTGGTTGTTGCAGAAGACCCGGGTTCGAATCCCAGCACCCACTTGCAGCTAACAACTGTCTGTAATTCCAGTTCAAGGGGATCTGACAGCCTCTTCTGTCCTTGGGGACTGCACAACACGGGTGCACTTAAGTACATGCAGGCAATGCACGCATACACATTAAAAAAATAAAAATAGCCGGGTGTGGTGGCGCACACCTTTAATCCCAGCAGAGGCAAGGTGGATCTCTGAGTTCAAGGCTAGCCTGGTCCACGTAGTTCAGGACAGCTAGGGCTACAGGGAGACCCTGTTTCAAAAAGACCTAAGTAAGTAAGTAAGTAAGTAAGTAAGTTAAGTAAGTAAGTAAATAAATTAAGTAAGCAAATAAATAAATAAACAAACAAATATTGAAAAAAAAAGAAGTTACTTAATACTGGTAATATTAGCCAAACTTAAGTATCTAAGAGAAAGGTGAAAATATATATATTGGGAGGTAGTAATTCTCTTTTTAATGATGGTAGTTACTTTGAATTATGCTTTTTTTTGAGACAGTTTGATGTGCTCCAGGCTGGCCTCAAATTTCCTGTATATAGTAGGCTGGCCTTGAACAATCCTTCTACCTTTACCTCGGAATTGCTAGAATTAGAGACTAGTGCTACCACGCCCCTGTTGAATTATGCATCCTTAGTTACATCTGGAGGATTACAATCATGCAGTGAAACTTAAATAGTCCCTAAAGGGATGCTAGTTGGGAGTTTTAGGAGCCTATTATAAATGTTGTATGCAGTGTTTTTTTTAGGGGGGGTGTCTATTGGTTTTGGTTTTCAGTTTTTGTTTTTTTTTTAAATTTTATTTATTTTTTGGTCTTTTTGAGACAGGGTCTCCCTGTAGCCCCAGCAGACCTGGAACTCACTTTGTAGATCAGGCTGGCCTTGAACTCACAGAGATCTGCCTGCCTCTGCCTCTCGAGTGCTGGGATTAAAGGCATGTAAAACAACTAACTGAAACTGCCCCACACCAAGGCACCTGCTACTGACTCATTCCCCACCCTACCTGCAACGGTCCCATCACCCCCGCCCACAAAAGAAAAACTATAGAATTCAGCCTGCTGTGACAAGAAAATGCTGCTCCCTTTCTCCCGTGGGAGCAGTCCAACAGCTCATCCATCCCAATAAATTTCTTCTTTTCTCCCCTCAGAGTGGTCTCCAGTGGTCCTGGTCTTTTCACAAACCTAACATTTACTCCATTCTTTCAGCCAGTGCTGATTCTAATTTTTCATAAAGATTTATTGAAAGAACATTCTGTCTCTCTTTTTAAAATTTTTATTTATTTTTAAAATTTTATGGGTATTTGTGTATTGCCTGCGTGTAGGTAAGTGCACCCATGTCGTGCAATGTTCGCAGAGGTCAGAAGAGGCTGTCAGATCCCCTGGGACTGGAGTTAAGGACAGTTGTTAGCTGCCATGTGGGTTCTGGGATTTGAATCTTGGTCTTCCGCAAGAACAACCTATGTTCTTAACTGCTGAGCCATATCTCCAGCGCCTATTATTTTTGTTTTATGTGTATGTGTATTGCCTGCATGTACGTAAGTGCACCTGTATCCTGCAATATGCACAGAGGTCAGAAGAGGCTGTCAGATCTCCTGGGACTGGAATTACCGACGGTTGTTAGCTGCCATATGGGTGCTTGGATTTGAACATGGGTCTTCTGCAAGAACAACCAGTGTTCTTAACCGCTGAGCCATCTTTACAGCCCCGGTTTTTAGTTTTTTATGTGCATTAGTGTATTGCCCGCATGTGTATAAGTGCACCCGTGGCATGCAGTGCCTTGCAGAGGTCAGGAGGGATTGGATCCCCTGGAACTGGAGTTCTAACGGAAGGTTGTTAGCCACCAGGTGGGTGCTGGGAATTGATCCCTGGTTCTCTGGGAGTATAGCCAGTACTCTTAATTTGCTGAGCCATATCAGTTTTTTGAGATAGTATCTCTGTGTCCTAGGCTGGCCAGAAACATGTGAAATGATCCTCCTGTCTCAGCTTCTCAAATGCCTGAGATCTTGATTTTGTTAATGTATTACAAATACTTGGAATGGTGTCTGTTACGCAGAATCGGCTTGTTTGTGTGTGTGTGTTTGTGTGTGTGTGTGTGCTCAATAAGAGAATGAAAAGAGGTAGAGTCGGGCTTCTCTGAAATCGAAGCCATCTTGGTCTACATAGTAAGTTCCAGGTCGGCCTATGGCTACAAAGGAGACCCTGTCTCAAAAAGACCAAAAATAAATAAAACGGGGAGAATGAAAAGAGGATGGTATTCATGAGGAGTTTGTTTGGCCCCCAAAACTATCATCTGAGAAAAAAATTGTAAGGGCCTTTTTCTTGAGAGCAGGTTAAATTTAGTCTGCTATGTGAATTTCTTCTTGTCCTTTTTGATTTATTATTATTATTTTTTTTTTGATACAGGGTATCCCTGTAGCCCCAGGTGGCCTGGAACGTGCTGTGTAGACCAGGCTGGCCTCCAACTTGCTGAGATCTGCATGTCCCTGCCTCCTGAGTGCTGGGATTAAAGCCATTCTCCACCATGGAAAATGAGAAAGGGGGAAATAAGTTAGCTATCTAATGAGTTTTGGAGTTACTGTTCACTAAAGTTACTGCTGTGAAGAATTGAAGAAAATGAGTTCTCTGACTTTTAATTTTTCCCCTAAAGAGTACAGGGGCTCAGGTCCAAGTGGCAGGGGATATGCTCCCCAACTCAACTGAGCGGGCTATCACTATTGCTGGCATTCCGCAATCGATCATTGAGTGTGTCAAACAGATCTGCGTGGTCATGTTGGAGGTAAGCCCTCAGGCTTATGCTGGTGGTGGTGGAGGGTGATTCTGGGGACAGAGGAACTGATCTATATTTAGTTAGACTAGAATTAGGTGAAGCTGTTAAGAGGCTGCCAGTGGGGGTGGGGAAAGCTTCCTTCAGTTCATATTTTCCTTCTTCCAACTTTGACTTTCTCATAGTCTGAGCAAAACTAGAATCTGTTAAGCAGTAGTAGTCCCTTGGTTGAGAGGATTGTAGCAGAGTGGGTGGAGAAGATAGACTATAAGGACTTTGGGTTCTTAAATGGTATTAGGCTTGGGTTGCCATATTTTCGTTAGGTTGACCTTGATATGGTTTTGCACTTCTCATTTTGAAGTAAGGTATATTCAAAATGATAGTTCCATGTCACAGAAAAAAATATCAATAGTAGTGTTTTGTAATGAATTATAAAGTCCTACATGCTGTTGGGAAAAAGGCAAAATTAAGGGAAATTAAAGCTTTTTGGAGTTATGAAATTGGTCCCCTAAGAATCAGGAAAGAAGCTGGGCATGGTGGCACATGTCTTTAATTGCAGCAATTGGGAGTCAGAGGCAGGCAGATCATTGTGAATTCAAGACCAGTCTGGTCTGCATAGCAAGTTCTGTCCAGTTGGGGCTACAGGGAGACCCTGTCTCAAAAAGAAAGATGAAAAAATAAACAATGAGAGAAAAAGTGCAATTTCGAAGTAAGAATTTAGGAAAGGTCTTGATTGGGTCTTGAAACAAGACAGTATCTTTGGTACAATATCCATAACATTTGGGAACATTATTTCCAACTTTGGCTTTATTTCCATTTACATCAAAATGTGAAGGGTTAAAAATTGCCAATTAAAGTTTACATATACATAGAGGGATTTGTGTGTTAATTAAATTTATTTTACAAAGTGTGAAAATCATACCTAAAATTATTGTAGGACGTCTGCTTTGGTGAGAATTGATGTGATCCATGTAGTCTGTGGGCTTTCTTATTGCTTTAAAAGCAAATGACTGGAGATATGTGAGATTAGATATAACCTTGTGTAACTTGATAGGTGAAGGGATGGAAATAATAATTTTTGATTTAAATGACCTGTGTGTGCTATAGCCACACAGCTGAAGCAGCTTTGAAACCTTATCTCTTTTTGTTTTTTTCCCCTCTGACTCTCTCCCAGTCCCCCCCGAAGGGCGTGACCATCCCGTACCGGCCCAAGCCCTCGAGTTCTCCAGTCATCTTTGCAGGTGGTCAGGTAAGAATATTCTTATTGGTGGGTTAGAATGAACAAAGATTACATTTGCAATATCAACTTTGCTAGCAGCATATCAAGCTACTTTGCATGCTTGCTAAAACCTGTACTCTGACCATAGTTTGACCTGCTTTTAGTTTTTTTAGTTTTTTTTGTTTGTTTTGTACTGAAAAAGTCTTGAATAATAAGGCTTTATTTAATTTTTAGTAGGCAATGGAAGTTTTGTAGGCACTCAGAAGAATAATTTATTTGGTAATTTAAGGCGGGTTGGGTTAGAAGAGTTAAATTGTTTCAGTGCTACTAATTCTCTACCTATCCCCACCCCATTCATGCTTTTGTATGTATGGAGTGGTAGAGGTCTGAGTAAAGATAGCAAAGACTTGGACCTCTGCAGATTCTGGATGCTGGTCTCCAAAGGGAGGACAGTGTTCCTGAACTTGGAGTGACCTACAAACTTTCCCTTCCCACCACCTCACCTCCCCTACTCCTACCCCACCACTCCCAAACTCCAGTGTGTTGTCCCCCAGGCTCTTAACCTGAAACACTGGTTTGAACCCTCATGGCATAACTGAAATCAGCTGGGGTAAGAGTTGAGCAGACCAGAATAGGTTGGGGAGAGCATATTGGCTTTGGTGTTAGAATTAAGAACACTAAAGCACTCTCTTGGTGCTTCTACTCCTTCCTCACTAGCCTAAACACATTTATTTTTGACATGGTTTATTCTGGAGTTAGTTGTATGAGAAGAGCATTGATAAGTACCATGGTAGTAGTGTTTTGGTGGTTAGTATTTGAGTAGTAATAGGTAAACCATTTTTTTATTTAACTGAAATTCAATTGAAATAGTCACCTTAATTTTGGTAGCTATAGATGTATTCCTTTAAAGTGCCTTTCCCACTTGGGAGTGGCCTAAGAAACCATCTATATTTAACTAGTTGTATCTATTTATATTTGGTCTGAAAGCCATTGGGGGTGATCATCAACTTGGGAATGGGAGTTCATCTCATTTACATTTTACTGAATTTTCATAATTGAACAAATTCAGGTCTTGCTGGGGCTTTGGTGTTTCAGTGTTATCTTGAGACTGTTAGAACTTAGTTTTAGTATTGCAGTCTATGAACTGGCTTGTCAAAGGACTTTGAATAGTCTGAATAGTTGGGCAGGATAAGCACAGACTCAGCAGTTGAGGGGAACAGGTTAGCCCTAGGAGTTCTATCACTTTTCCCATGGAACTCCAGGTTCCTGCTCTTGTGGATTCTCCCAGGAAGTCCCATGCTGTGTCACCAGTCCTCTCTACTTACAGATTCCTTGACTTTCCCTGCCCCTCTTCCCCTTCATACCTCTTTGCTTCCTTTCCCTCCCTCCTTTTTTATTCAGTTAACAACCCTCTAAAAGCTTGCAGCCACGGGCCTTTTTAAACGGACCAATTCATACAATGTCCACAGATGGAACTGTGTCTTTTGTTCATTTGTGGCAAAGTGGGCTCTGTAGGCGTTCAACCTAATCCTACAGTGACCAGAAGCTGGCATCATCAGCTCTGTTGCCTTACCCATCTTAATGAAAATAACCCAAATTGTGCAGTGTCAAATCTGCCACCAGGTAACTTTTTTTTTTTTTTTTTTACTTTTTTATTTTTTATTTTTTAAATTCACTGATTACAGCTCGTTTTAAATCTGTGTTGTGAGCTCCTTTTAAAGGAAAAAAAAATAAACAACTTTTTTTGTGTGAATTTCATGCTGGTGACAAGGTGCCGGATTGACAGCCCTGGAGACTGAAATCCTCTATTTATCCACAGGACAGGTACAGCACAGGCAGCGACAGTGCGAGCTTTCCCCACACCACCCCGTCCATGTGCCTCAACCCTGACCTGGAGGGACCACCTCTAGAGGTGAGAGGGGATGTTCAGTCTCCAAGGCTCACTCAATCCTTCCGCCTCAGCCGAGACTGCCAACACAAGGGGGGCCAGTGGCGCTGGTGATTTTTGTGCTGTGGACACCACCTGTCCACGGGGACCTGGACTGACCCCCCCACCTCATTTCACACAGGCCGCGTAGCCCACCAGATGGTAACATCAACTTTTTAAAAAAAATTTTTTTTGTTCAACCCCTCTTTTCCCTCTCCCACTCCTCCCGTCCCATATTCACCCTCCCACCCCTACCTGGGTGTACTTTTGGGAGTACTGGCCACTGTGATGTGAGAAATTTCACATCTTATTAAATAACCAGCAATTCTTTCCTTCCCTTCCCTCTTTTTTTCTTTTTCCTTTCTTCCTTGTCCTCCCTCCCCCATTGCCCTGAAGACCCAGTTTCCTTTTTGGGAGGTTATGGTGTGGGGGGAGGAGGGCATAGTGGGAGCTGCAAGTGCTTTATTTTATGTAGGGGAGGTGGGAGAAAGCAGGATTTAGTACAGTGAGTCTGTTGCCCCACCCTCCTAAAATATGGTCCTCCCTAGTGTTAGAGACACAACTAGCTTCCAGTGTACTTTAGGTATTTAGCCAGCTGTAGAGTAGAATAAGTTAGGGAAAGGGAAATGTTTGGATACATGCCATGCAGGTTTGTGCAGTGACAAATCACTCAGAGCACCATGACTAGTAGAAGGGTTTGGGAGTTAGGGAAAAGACCATTTTCCCTTCTAGGCTGTGTTATATATGGGGAGGGGGGCACTTGGTCAATCCAGGCATTGTTTAACTTTCCACAGCTTCATTAGTTAGACACGTATATTTTACTTTGATGAAAGGGAACTTGTGTACCCTTCTTAAAGGAACGCTGGATTAAAATCATTGTATTTAGGGTTCAAAGAAGGCCAACTCAGGTCTGACCATTTGTGAGAGTCCACTTACTGCCTCGATCCCTGGCTCTCCATTCTTGAGTTGGACTCTGGCTTCCTGGCTAGTTGAAATCTGTCCCCTGTCCTCCCCTCCCCCTCCCATTGGGTGGCTGTCCGTGATTGGTTTTTAATAGGAACTGTTTTCCTCCTTTTGTAGGCCTATACCATTCAAGGACAGTATGCCATTCCACAGCCAGATGTAAGTTTTGTTTTCACTTCTTGTTTTGAAAAGCTCCCTCTCCATCAAAAATTGTCTTGACTTCTTTCTCCTAAGTAGACAGAAGTGAGTTGGGTCTTAAACATTTGGGTGTTGTTTCCCTTAAAAAGTGAACCACATAATATCATCTTGTTTGCTTTTAAACATAACGTCTAGAAATTATAATCTACCAGATTATTAGTTTCTTTCCCCGTGTTTCAGAGGACTCTGTCTGAAACAGAAGTATTCCATGGTACACTATTAATATCTTGGCACAGGTCAAATTGACAATGAAGTATGCTTCCTTTAATGGAGTATATCTGGGTAAGAGGGAGGTTGGGTTTGTCTTTGGGTACTCTTTAATCTGAGGTGACAAAAAGCATTGAGGTTTATTTACACAAGAAGGGATAGAAAGCTGAAATTGAAATTCCACTCCAGCATTCCTTTCCACTAAAATCCTCCTATTTAAAGATACTGGTATTTAGACTAAAGGACTTTTTTTTTTTTCCTTTTTCCCTCACATGTGTCTTTGATCTTACTGACCTTTTCAGATCCCGAGCATTAGATTTGGAAAGTTGAGTTTGGTTCTTGATTAGTGGTAGGCCCCAGGGAGAAGTAGGAAGTAGGCCTGAAAAGGAATTATTTTACCACCAGCCAGGACAGTAACATATCTGTTATGAATAAGATAGTTATAAAAAGTTGCTGTTGGGGACTAAGCCCAGTTTGGTTTCTTGTTAACTTCTCTCCTCCTTGCAGTTTCCCTGCCCTCCTCATCTCCTTCCCTTTCCCCAGTATTGGTGGAACCATGCATGGTGTGTTTTCCCTAGCACCACTGCAGTTTGTTTACCTAGCCTGTCTGTGCTTGTCCCTGGGGCAACTGTTGCAATGGCTGCAAACACCTTCATTAAAAAGCCCACAGGGGACGGTTGTTGGGCAGGTGCTGTTGCTTTCCTTTTCACATACTCACAGTGCATTCATTCTTGTATTTTGACATCCTTTCTATTTCTCATCCTTACCCATCATACTCTGCTGTCCTCTGGATTGTACTGTAAGCCCCATCCTTACCCTTTTATGGTTGGAATAGTAAAGTCAACTTTAGAAATCAGGAGCTATGTGTGCATTTTCATCTGAATGTCATTGAGCCCTGGCTGTGTCACTCTTCTAATACTGGTTTCTCCTGTTCCTTCTTACAGTTGACCAAGCTGCACCAGTTGGCAATGCAACAGTCTCATTTTCCCATGACGCATGGCAACACCGGATTCAGTGGTATGGATACCTCAGTGTTTATTTCTGTAAGGTGTAGTGCAAGACAGAGGCCAGTCCCAAGGTCTCAGCTTGACAACTGTTTAAAACGAACTTCATTATCCAGCATCCTGCTGGTTTAAGCTTGGCCTACTGTGGCTAAACCCAAGGAGGTAATGTGTTAACGTGATTTTCATTTGGGGTGAGTTATTGTTAAAAAAAAAAAAGGCCCTGGAAGGTTTGGGGTGAGTTTTGGGGATGCTTGTCAGGCAAAGGGTAGGCTGATATTTCTTTAACCCACCCTGATAGTTGCCCCCCTTGATCTGATCAGCACCCCCTTTATCTCCACCAGGTATTCACAAAACTTGGGTAGAGACAATCCATTTGTGCCAAATTGTATAGTATATTTTTGTTTTTTGTTTTTGTTTTTGGGCTTTTTTTTTTTTTTTTCTGTATAAGGAATAACTTGTCCGATAGGGTTAGGATGAGACCACCAAACTCATTTTCACTTGTATCTTAACAGGCATTGAATCCAGCTCTCCAGAGGTGAAAGGCTATTGGGGTAATGATTAAAAAAAAAAAAATCTGTAGTATTCTACTGTTATATTAATAAACTGGTGGGAGTCTTGTTTCACTGCCCATGAACCATACCAGCAACATGCACATGGCAGAGAGGAGCTGAGAGAGCAAAGGGGTGGGCCTGGTGCCCCCGAGGGTCCCTTGATGGATCTGGCCAAACACCTTCTAAAAATGCAGTTGAGAGCAGGACTAGAACTGTTGAGGGTTAACCAGCTGGCTTGGTCCAATCCTGGTGTTATCATGGATGGGTAGGGGTGTTTGTGATGGAATTTTCTTTTTTTCTTTTCCTTTTTTTCTTTGAAAAACTAAAAAGCCAGAATAATTAGAGAAAAAGACAGAAATTTGAAAAAATAAACTCGCCTTAACCTGATTTGCCATTTCATCTGGTCTAGGTTAGGGGGATAGAAGTGAAGGGTGTTAATCTGATAGAGATATAATAAAAGCAGCTCTACATGTGTGCCAAAAGTCTTTTGATACCCAGGAAGAGGCACGAAATTGGCACTAGTGAGCAGTGGGTGAGAGAAAATTTGGGACACAGCAGTGATCTTATTCAGAAAAGGGGTATTTGATGCTTAGATTTTGGTCCTGTTTGAGGATGCCACACTCCTTTGCTCCTTATTTATCTCCATACCCCTAATAGGCTGGGCTTTGCAGGAAATGGCATGAAGTCAGCTCTTCTGATTGTACAGAAGAACCTTTCCGGCATTATTTCTATACTCCTTTCCCCTCTTTCCTCATTGGAGGCTTCAAAGTTAGTGATGAATCCCAACAGCCAATGCTTGGTTTCCAGTTTAATTTCTTTCTGTTAGTTTAATATGCAAATCATTGTGAGTTTTGAATGCTGTGCATTGAACTTTCTTGCTCTTTTCTGTTTTTTAGCAGGTTTGGATGCATCTGCTCAGACTACTTCTCATGAACTCACCATTCCAAACGATGTAAGTGTAAAGTATGTAAAATGCTGAGAAAAACCTTGTTAGGGGAAATTGGCACAGTTAATTATATTGATAACAATTTTGCTGGAGTTTTCTTTACTTTGCTTATTCAGGTAGAAATTTTTTGTTTTGTTTGAGATGGAGTCTCCCTGTAGACCAGACTGGCCTCAATCTCACAGTCACCTCCCTCTGCCTCCTGAGTGCTGGGGTCAAAGGTGTGTGCCACCATTCCTGGCTTTTCTTCCCTAAAACATCTGAAATTTTGTGGACTGGGTGGGGTGATCATTGAATTAATGTGAGATCTGCTGTGTCCAACATGAAAGTCATTGGTTAGTTACATGTGGCTGTTAGGATGATAATAAAATAAAAGTAAATTCAGTTTCTTAATAGCTACACTTTAGATGTTAAATAATCATATGCTGAATAGTGAAAATGTAGTATCGTCCCAAGGCAAATGCTTTTGAAATTCTTGCATAAGATGATAGCAGGATGAATTTAAGCATCTTGACTGCCCAACATTTAAGGCACTTTTATTTATTTGTAGCCATCTTATTACTTTGATTCTGAATTGTCTTTGGTGTCAATACTGTAGAGATAGACTAAAAAGCTAAGGGAAGGTCTTAGGAGTTGGAGTTTGCTATGCCTTATATATAATCAGTCACAAGCATAGTTCAGGAACTAAAGTAGGACCTATTGTTTTGATAGGAATCTAACAGGTAATGGTGGTTTACAGGCACAAATTACAGATTGTAGAGATCAGTTGGTATGTGGTGTTCTTTTGTAGCTATTCAACCCTTAATTTGTTTTTTGTTTGTTTACTTTGTTCCTAAAGTTGATTGGCTGCATAATCGGGCGTCAAGGCGCCAAAATCAATGAGATCCGTCAGATGTCTGGGGCGCAGATCAAAATTGCGAACCCAGTGGAAGGATCTACTGATAGGCAGGTTACCATCACTGGATCTGCTGCCAGCATCAGCCTGGCTCAGTATCTAATCAATGTCAGGTAAGTTCAGACCTACCTTCTCCTTGATTAAGGCCAACATAGTGGGGGAGGATACTGTATTAAACATGGGTTTCTTTGGGATGGGTAGAGATGGCTGAAACATTGCCATTTTAAGTTGAGCTCTGCTTTCCTTAGATCTCTAATGTAGCAGAGAATAATAACCAGATTAGACTAAGTATGCATGGGGTCATATAGATTGCTTGCTTTTGACTTTTGATTGTTTAGGGGCGTGGAGAGGGTGGTATTGCAGGTCAGTGCTTTGGTTATAATGATTATACATAGGTATGCACTTTGCTTAATTCACATGTCACATAGACTAGTATTTCTTTCATGGATCTGGAGTCCAGAGCACCTTGAATTTTTAAAGGATAATGAAATAGTAAGACATCCCAAATAGCTTCTTAAAGATAGCCATTTACTCTGCAGACATTTCTGAAATGGAAAGTGTCTTCCATTGTTCATGGAAAAAACAAAGCACAGGCTTAGGAATGTTCCACATATATTTTTGTGTTTCATTCATGACCCCATTCTTATCCTTAGATGACTTCCTAAGCTTTTATTTCCTTTATACTTAAGTAATGGTACTACACTTTTATAGGACACCTGTGTACAAGTCAAGTGAGCATCCTGTGGGCTATGTTTCTTTTGCAGCTCTATGCTTCAGCCACATTCTTAATTGCTTACTGATATTTAGAATCACTGTTAGCAGCCCATTTCCCAAGAGGCTCAGCATTACCTTTTCTATGGGAAGAGTGTTGTCTTTCTCTTTTAACTTGTATTTATAACTCTTCAACATAAACAGTTCTTGATTCTAGTATAAGAGAAAGGAATTCATAAATATGCAATCTGTATGCTTATATCTATGCCAAGATCTTTTATCCCTAGTTGAAAACATTCTCAGTTTTGTCAATTCCTCAGTGGTGATTCTAGCTTTTGTCTTAGTTTTCATCCTTTGAGTTAGTCTTCATATAGAAAGAACTAAATCTAGATGTACTTTAACTACCAAGCACATCACGTCTTTAATATTGGGTAAATAATACTAATTTTTTACACAGACGCTCTTAGCAAAGATTTTTTTTCTTACTGGTAGTTTTATGTGGCAGAAATTCATGTTTTTGGAATCTAAAAATTGTTATTGTCTGCTTTGGGTGAGCTTTCCCTGAATATTATCAGATAGTTCAAATTATAACTTTAATTTCGACCTGTTTGACTGGCCCTTTTGGTAGATCAGTGGGTTCATTGTAAGGAAGCTGAGAGTCACTATTTGAAATCACTCTTTGCTGGATTGCTTTTATTGAATATTTGAATGTTGTACCATCTTAAGTGAGACTGTACAGCTGGATTTGGATCAGAACTTTAAAAACTTTACATCAACAGATGTAGGAAGATGTGACAGCTGGTCTTCATCTTTTTATTTTGGCCCAGTTTGAACACAGAAATCAAGCTGGCTTTATTAATACTAGGCAAGACACTTATTTTCATTAATGGCATCTAAACATTTCTGCTGTGCCTCATTGAGGTTTCATGGTAGCATTCAGGGTCTTTGCTAGAGTTGATTGCTGTGTCCATTCCTTTATGGATTGACCTAGTCATGAACAAGGTAAACAAAATGGAGCCTCCTTGCCCTTGAACAAGAAATGGCTTTGTGGGAAAGATTGATCTTAGCACAAATATCTGAAGTTCTGGTTTAAGCATGCATAAGGATTTCTGAGCTGAGGATTATTGTGAGCCTACTTTAGTAATAGAAGCAGCATTAGTTTTGCTTTCTTAAATGTTAGTACTTGAAGCTCTTAAACTTGTGTAAAGTCTGTGATGTGTGACCAGTCAAAAGAAAGAGCTTTTATACTCTTCACCAACCTCCCACCAGAGAAATTCCACTACATCTTATCTATACTTCTGTTAGCATTGTTCTTTGAAAATGCTACACACTTTGAAAGTTAGCAGTCAGCAGCCTACTTTGGATTCCTTGCCTCCTTCCATTTTGATGTTTTGATACTTTGATTCATTTGCTCTGGAGGCTATGTCTACTTACATAAAAAAATTTCTTTGAGGCAGCCATGTTGATCCATACCTGAAATTCTAGAGCTGAGGAGGCTGAGGCAAGAGGATCTAGTTCTAAGCCAGCCAGAGTTATAAAGGAAGACCCTGTCTCCCAAATTTTAAAAATGTAATGTGCAACATTTCACAAATAATTGTTGATTGACTCTCCATTTGAACAGGAAATTGACAAGGTTAGATGAAATTTTGTTTTTAAAACCAGGCCTTAGGATCCTCTTCAGCTGTGCCAACCTCTTTTCTGATTTCTGGGTTGGGTCAATGTGTCAGATACTTGGAAATTGTGTTTTATATTTTGGTTTCTCTATCAGCCATTTCTTTACCAAAATAGTTTTCAAGAACATTGTGGGGAAAGAGGTGGCAGAATATAAATATATAGAGGGTGGGACACAGGCTGAGTTTGTCATAAAGTTGACATTAAATCTTCTGATTGGCAGCCAAAGGCACTTACTGATATAACTGAAGCGGTTTTGTCCTGTACTTTTCCCTATTGTGGTCTTCCCTTCCACCCACCCTTTTTTTTGTTCCTTTTTTCCTCTGTTACAGTTTAGAAAACGCTAAACCCTCCTCCCAGGCAGCCTCCGTCACGATCCCTGATCACCTCAGCATCAACCTCTCTCAACCCTCCACCCCTTCTTCTTCTTCTTCCTCCTCCACCACCACCCCCTCGCTCGCCACAGCGGGGACTTCCGACGCACCCTCCAGCCTCCCCAACCCTCTTCCGACCGCCCCTTGTGTCTCCAGTCTGCTTGGCATGAAACCCATCCCTCTCCTGGCTCTAAATGTTGTGTCTGCTGCTAAGGGTACCGGGGCTTCAGCTACCACCACCACCACCTCTACTGTGCCATGTGTAACTAACAAACTGAAAGGCGAGAAACAGAGATTCTCCCCCTACTGAGTGCTTATCTTGAGGCACCTCCTCAAATGTTGGTTCATTTTGTTTTTCTTTGTTAACATTGGTGAGAACCAAATTATTGTGGGCTTGTGACCATTTTTCTTTTTACTATTTTGGGGGAATAACTGGGTGGGGGCTGGGGATAATGGTAACCCTTGTTTAGGTTAGGTCTTTACAGCTCAGTGCCTGTTTCAGAGTCTGACTTGTTGATTGAAATCTTTATCTAGAGCCACAGTTCTTTCATTCTGTTACATTTTTTTGTAGCTTTATTCTGCCTTGCAATATAACAATGTGTTAGGCTCTGTGTTAATGAATAAAAGCTTCTCCTTAACTCTTTCTTTTTATTTTTATTTTTTTTATAAATAATTTACTGGTTAAGCTGTTAGAAGGCCTTCTTGGCCAGATCTGTGTTTCTAGCTATAATAAAAGTTGCCACAGTATGAACCTTAGTTCACTGTGTGATGTGACTGGTAAAGGGGTGGGGAATTTATGATCTGTGGCTAGTCAACTTGGAAGTCAATACAGCTAACTTGGGTCTTTTTGTATCCCACATCAATATTGGAAGCTTATTCCCAAATGGAAGGGCCTTTGGCAGTTTAAATACTGATGGTCCTTCAGAATTGGCAAGAAACTTCATAGCAAAGAATAGTTTGTTCAAATTCATTACTTTGCCGTCAACAGCAGGTAACAGGAGCCCTTGTGTGTGCTGTTAAAACTTTAGTGAGTGGTTATGTCAAAGACATACATACAAAACTTATTTCTTTATCCAGAATGTTTGGTAAGGTTGGGTAAGTCCAGGTTAGGCAGACTCCTCTGATGGAACACTAATTATCCTTTATTCTGTGATGTTAGGAAGGTCTTAAGGACCTATCTGTGACATTCAGAACTTAAGTGTGTTGTAGTCATCCTAAACCAACTGATTGGTCAGGGAAGTTATTTACCCTTCCTATTTCCTACCCACCCTTCTCTCTCCTACCAATAAGGCCATCAGAGAGTGGAGGATTATACTTAGATTTGAATGAAGTTTAAAGATCAATCTGTAACAGAAATAAGAAGCCCCAAGATAATTTAAACTTGATCATACAAGTGACTAGCCAGGACTTATCCGTGCTTTACACAGTGTACTTAACTCCTGATGTTTATTCACTCTTTCATTATGGTGCTGGCTTGATCCCAGGGTCTTGCACAGTGCACTGTACCACTGAGGTACACTTTAGCCACTTGTTCATTTTCTTATCAAGATGAGCCATAGGTATTTTTCCATAAAAGAATAGCAGTCATGTGGGGGGGGGCAGGGCACTGTTTAGGCAGTGGTAGAGCATTTGCCTAGTATTCACAAGACCCGGGGTTTGTTCTCCAGCACTGGGGGCGGGGCGAGATATTTTAAGTGTAATGGTGAAAGCCACTTGATTCTCTTACATTCAACCAAGATACACATTGCTAGGTTCTTCCCAGGGCGGTAGAGAAAATAATTCTAGGTAGGTTTTTATTTTGATGACATTTTCCCAGCATTTTCCAGTGACATTATTAAACAACAGAAAGACATATAACTGCTCATAAGTATGCAATATATTTGTCCCTGGTGTTACTGTGGTTCCTCTGTTCAAGATTTTTCTGTTCACATACTCCAAGCCTGCACTGAGGATTTTAGAAGGACAAACTATTCTTGTGGAAATTAGTGGCCCTCCTGTGTGTGGTCCAGCTTTGTGTAGTTAAAACTTAACATGCCAATACCATCTCCACAGGGGATTGGTCTTTTGGTTTATTAAGTATATTGGAGGGCTCTTAGCCTAATGAGTATGCCCCAAAAAATTGTTAGGAATCCATATGTTCACGGGTAGTACTGACTACCATAACTATCTTCAAAAGTACTTGGTACTAATTTTTTTTTTTGAAGCTTGGCACTCTCCAGTGTTCGATCTCGAGAGTCCCTAATGTATTTCTGGTTGAGTTGTCCTTTCTCTCTGCTTACCCCTGAAATCCCTGCTTAGGTTTGATAGTGAGTTCTAGGCAGTTCTTGAGCTGTTTATATGGACATAGAACATTGTTTTTTCTTTTTCTTTTTTTTAATATCTAAGTGGTAGTCAAGGAATTTGTTGGAACCATTTTATTCAAAGCTTATTGTTTACCTTGCCCGAGATCATTGTATTTTGAGATTGGCAAGAATTTACTCCTTTAATGTGTATGTGTATGTGTGCAAGCATACACATGCAGGTATGCACATGTGGAGGTCATTGAACAACTCAAGTATGGTTCTTGCCTTCCACCTTAATTGAGACAGTCTTTTTGTTCACTGTTAGCTAGCTTTCCAGCTTTTAGGGATTCTCCTTTCTCTGCCTCCCATCTGGCTGTAGGTTTGCTGGAATAGAGATGAACTACTGCATCTGTTTTTACATGAGTTTTGGGAATTTAGGTTTTCATGCTTGCATAGCAAGTACTTACATCTTCCCAGCTCATGATCTGCCTGTGTGTGTGAAGGCCAGAGATTGATGTTGGCTGTCTTCCTCAATCAGTCTTCACCTTGTTTGTTTATTGAGACAGGGTCTACTATATAGCCCTGGTTGAACTGGAACTCTCTGTTCCTCTGCCTCTCAATTCTGGGATTAAAGGTATACACCACTGTACACAGTCTATTTATTGAGACCGGGTCTTTCACGGGTGTTCAGATTTGGCTAAACTGGCTGGCTAGTAAGCCTTAGGTATGTACCTCATGTCGCTACCTTCCCAACCACGGGATTACAGGTGTTCTCGCCCCATCATGGATGCTAGTGATGGATGCTAAATTAAGGTCCACATTATTTGAGCTACATGTACTTTACCATCTGATTGATCTCTTCAGCCTTTATATTTTTGCGGAGAATGAAATACTCCCTTTCATGCTGAATGTCACCCATGAGAGTACTAGCTACACCTACCTGACTGCTTAGCTTTGGAGATCTCACATGTTTAGTGTTCAGGCACATCAGGACAGTAAAACAAGTAATTTCTGACTTTAAAGGACATACAATTTCTAACCGAAGGATTCTTTGATTTCCTGGACCTTATTTTGTTATTTTTAAAATTCCTTATTGTATTGTTTTGGGATACAGGTAGTGAGCTCATGGCCATGATATTGACCAGACACCACAGATAGTTAATATCATCAGATAGCTTGATGTCTTTCTGCTGCCTACCTAGTGTCAGTGCCTGAATACTGTTACCTCAAAGTCATTTAATTCCCAGGTATATTTGGAAGGAAGACTTGGCTCAGTAAGGCCACAAATTTTTGATTTTCAAGAGTAAGCTAAGGAGTAGTTTCATTTTTCTGTTAATGTTTGTCCTGAAATGTTAAGCTTCAAAAAAGGACTTTACTGTAGTTATTATACTTAACTCTTCCTTATAATGTCCCTCTAGCATTTATAATTATATAACCTCCTCCCATGATGGAGCAACCCAAGACTGTTCTAGTATAAAACTTGTGATAGCATTAATTTAATGAGGCTAATGTTCTTTCCTATACTGTTGAAGTTGTATTTGGAGGGAGGAAAGAGGGGTATCCCTCCATGAAGAGGCTTTAGCAGTGGCATGTCTTCAGAAACTCTTTAAGGTTCCAAAAGAACAGCTTGAGAGACACTATCTTCTGAATTAATTGTGCCTTTAATCCCAGCCCTTGGGAGGCAGAGAGGCAGATCAGTCTCTGAGATTGAGGCCAGTCTGGTCTGCATAGTGAGTAGGGTGGGACTAGGGAGACCATATCTGTCTCCCTGCCACCCTCCCCCAAAAGTCTGGATGGATATACCTTACTTGATAATGAACTGCTGATTGTATGCACATTTCTCCAGCCAGACCTGGTCTAAATGTGAGACGTGTGGACACTGGGTACACTAACTTGTTCTTGTTTCTGTTTTACAGGCTTTCCTCCGAGACGGGTGGAATGGGGAGCAGCTAGAACAGTACAGATTCACCCATAATCCCTTTCTGCTGTTCACCACCACCCATGATCCATCTGTGTAGTTTCTGAACAGTCAGCGATTCCAGGTTTTAAATAGTTTGTAAATTTTCAGTTTCTAGACACTTTATCATCCACTCGTGATTTTTTAATTAAAGCGTTTTAATTCCTTTCTCTGTTCAGCTGTTATGCTGAGATCCATATTTAGTTTTATAAGCTTCTCCCTTTTTTCCAGGTTTTTTTTTTATGTTTTGTTTTTGTTTTTTTTGTTTTTATTTATTTTTTTTGGGCTCATGAATTTTTGTTTGTCATGGAAATGTAAGAGTGGAATATTAATACATTTCAGTTTAGTTCTGTAATGTCAGGAATTTTTCAAAAAAATTAAAAGATGGACTGGAGCTTTTTCTTTGTGAATAGAAACTGGATGCCACAGTGATTTATGTGGGTTTTATTCCTGTTGTCTGGATGTTATTTTTATACTTTTAACCCTCACAGGACCCTGACTGGGTTTGAATAGAAGACTTTATTCCAATTAAGATATTTACCACTCCATGTTTTTTATGTGCCCCTGATCTTTTTTTTTCCCCATGACCCTCTCTGGTTCACCCTTATATAAAACTTGTTTCTGAAGATTGATGATGATACTTCTATAGAAGGACTTTAGAGCTGCATACCCTTCAATGGAGCCAGGGCAGACAGATGTGTACCCATAGAAATGGTTGGACATGTATCTTGGATATTTAAGTTTCGTGGGAATGTGTCCCCTTATTGAAGCTTGCATACTTCAAACAGGAAAGTAGCTGCATGTTCCTAGTAACTGTTAATTTCTGGTCCTGAGTACATTGAGATCTACCTGAAATTGTTTAGAAAAGTACCTGCTGCCATTTATTTTAGAAAGTTGGGGTTTGACATGTTTAGTGAGAAAAGGTGTCCAAAGTCCTCCAAGGATCCTACTTAAACCACTTATGCTACCCCACTTGTTCACCTCACCAAGAAAACCCTCAACAGCTGGGCCTCATGGAGTGGTTATATTTCAGGATTGTTCACAGGGGTTACAATGACAGTCCCCACCCCAATCAGGCACCAGGATAAAAGCAGGGACTTAACAGCACCCCAGTTCTTCAGCTTGAGCCATCACATGCTATCGTGTTCTAACCTGCCTTTGGGCCCTCTGGGCCTTGGGCACAAAAAATGGAAGGACAAAGAAATGGGTTACATTGCCACCTGAGAACCCTCAGAGGGGAGGACCCAGCCATAGTTTCCATCCTCCCAAGTGCAAAATGTGTAAACAGTAAATGGAAAACAAAAGTGCAGTCTAAGTGGTTCCTCTCCTGCTCTCATGTTGCAGGGGTGGACAGTGTAGACAAGCCTGGCTTTTCTATTGCCTAGTTGCTTGCTGAACATAAGGAATGGGGTGAAGCAAGAAGGGACCAGTTTCCCTTTCCTCATAGCTCTAGGGCAGTACTTGGGAGTCATTGTTTCCACAGCTGCCAAAGTCCCTAGAGCTTATCAGGGACTAGGTGTGTGTGGGGGGTGTCATTCTCTCACAAGCCTGACTTAAGGCTAAGAAAGCCCCATCTAACTCTGTTGATTATGTGGCGCGTATATATATTATTTATATAAATATTTATCTATGTACAAGGAATAAGAGTGTCTTTCATGGAGGAAGGGAGGCTGGGGGCCGCAAGGCATCAACGCTGTTGGAGTTGTCCAATTCAGTGCTGTCACAGTCTGAGTCCTCAGGATTGGGGCCCTATGAGGAAGAGTAGAAATGCAATGATGTATATAGCTCAGCATCTCTTGGCATTGCTGAGTCCTTCAGGGCCCCTCACTGGGATGTTTTAACAGAGATGCCTTTTGTTTTACTGCCTAGAGGTTTGTTCAGGTTGTGCTCTAAGGGACCAGACTCCTTTAACGATATTTCTCTGGCTGTAGTTTGTGGCCAGCTAAGTGTTACGTACCACACTAGACACTGTGGACTGTAGGCCTCATGGGTATTTACTTCATTAGAATGGAGGAAACAGGCTTATAAATGTGAGTGCTAGCATGTGCAACTGTCTTTCCAAAAGCTTTGAATTGAGTGGGTGCCTGTACCCAGTTCATGTTCACTATCTGGGTTTCTCTTGCTTACCTGCTCACCTCTGAGTAGGTCCTGGTGTGGGTTGGACAAGGATCTGGGTTCAGGGTTAGGGACCACCTCTGAAGCAGGTGGGTCCAGTGGGATTTCTGAGCCCTGGGAGCACATGTCATCAGACCGGTCATCTGGCCGCTCATCAGTGTTGGTGCTGCCAACCTCTGGTGTGCCGCTGGGGGAAGGCTCACTAGCTGTACCTTCCTCCACATCTGATGGGTTCTCTGAACTGAAGGTTGATAGTGACTGACGCATGTTCAGGCCCTGAGGCCACCTAAATTTTGGGACATAGTTACAGCTTATCTGGTCCTTCTCAGTCTCCAAAGCAAAGGATGCCATTATACTCTGTTCTCCACTCACCTCTGGCTTGGTGTCAGCTCCACCTCACTATCCACTTCTCCTTCTTCCTCTTCAGATGAGACACCACGTTTCTATAGTGGAAATGGGGAAGACTGTTCAGAAATGGGAACGGGTCATTGGAAAGGTACACAGTGTTGGAAGTGGTTTGAGTGTAATGTGGGACACTTGGACGACTAGGGAAGTGGAGGAAAGGGCATATACAGGAACTTCTCCATACTTTACCTGACTGCGAGTTACAGCAGCCCTGTACAGCAGTGCAGCTGGGGTCAAGTGCTGGGACCCAGCCCGGCTTCCTCCCCGGCCTGCTGTCCCTTCCCTTCCAGTTCCCAGCAGCCCCACACCTTCACCAGGTCCTACTGGTGGAGGAGGCTCCCCTTTGGCTCCCCCAGGTGAATCTGGGCTGGTGGAGCCAGGAGCAGAGCCCTCACTTGGAGGGGTATCACCCCGGGGTGGAGGTGGGGAGCCAGGATCCCCAGCTCCACCTGTGGCCCCTCGGCCCCGGGCTCCCAGTGCTGCTGACAGCAGGTCAGGGGATGAAGAGGACATCTTTCGGAGCAGAAGGTCATGGTGTAGCCCACGGAGAGCAGGAGGACAGGCCTCCCAAGCTAAAGGTCCCATTCCTAGGCCCCCTGGGCTTCCTAGTCCAGGTTCATGGGGTGGCACAGGACATGCACGAAGCCCAGGCAGGTCTCCACAGCTGCCCTTGGCACTGGCTTTGCGGTGCCGGGTCTTGCCACGTCGACTTCTTCCTGGTGAGGGGGGGCCCTTAGGACACCCAGGAAGCCCTACCCCACTTAGGGCTGCATCGAGTTTGGGTAGCAAAGATTCTGTTTTGAGAATGTCTGGCCTAGTAGAGGAGGGAAAAGTACAAGGTTGGGATTAAATTTAAGTGTTTAATATCTTACACTGCCTGTACCCCTCCTACCACCCTCAAACCACATCCTCCTTTAAGCCCCACCTTTTGCTATGGGGTGACAGCTTCTGTGGCACATTCCTCTTCTTAATGAGCTTCTCCATTGTGTTCCCATGCAGGAGGCCACGAGAAGGATGTGACTTAAGTAGGCCTGGACACCTCCGTTCTAAAGCCTGTTCCCGCCTAAAGATCCAGGCACCTTCTCAGTTGGGCATATGACCAAGAAGGGAACAGTAGGGTCTCTTGAGTCAAGCAGCTCCATGAAGAGAGGGATGTGTGTAAGAGTTGGTAGGGTTACCTGAGCAGCTCCCGCTCCTTGAGTTCCAGCTGCAACATGAGGGCGTTCAATTCCATGTACAGGTTGTTGGCTCTCTCCAGCTTCCTTTCATAGTGCTCTCTGATGTCCAAGGCGTGTCTGAAAGCAGATGAAGTTCCCCCATGACGAACTGGTTTTACCTGGTGCCATAATGGACCCCGTTCTCTGGGCTCCATGGTGTAAAATTCCTGCTGTTTAGATTTTTTTAGATAAGCCACTTTACTAAATGGATACATACCTGAGCTCCTCCCTTCTCCGCATCACCAGCTCCTCTTCTAGGCGGTGCAGACAGGTCCCTTCTGACTTAATTTTTTCAAAATGCAGTTTCACTTCTTCCCGCCACTCTGCCTGAAGATGGAGAGAGATGAGGGCATGTCCCTTAACTGCACAGATGGGTGCTCTGGAGGCTGCTTGCACCACTGTGACTTGTGACTTGTGAGCAAAAGGTAGTGGGACACAGGCTTCTAGGAGAACTAAGCTATTCAGTCCCATTTTCCTGGCCCCTTCCACCAAAGGTTCCCATATGTGCAAAAATGTCAGGGAGTCATTTCTCCTCCCCACAGCACACCTGGGATTTAAAGTAAGTTTCCTGGGGTGTAGAGAGTACATCAGCTGAGGCGATATCCAGGTGTAGCAGGATCTGTCGGAATGATGGGCGATTTCTTGGCTTGCTATTCCTGAAGGGGGTGGAAGGAATTTCAGGGAGGGCCAGTAAGGAACTAGAGCATTTTTACCAAAATGTGTCCTGGGGAATCAATTCTAGAGTATATACTGTGACAGTAAGTCCATGGTCCACACTAGGAAATTATATATTGCCCGTTAACATGTAAGAGTCCCCATATTTTCTAATTGGTTTGCCAAAATCAAATAACTTCAGAGAAAACACACTGAGAAATGCTCAATGACAGAACCATTCAACTTTATGCCCAGTGCATTCTAAGGTCTACTTGATGCTGAGCCAGTTCTGCTCGATGGTGATACGTCTCCCTGCTTCCATGTACTAGTAGGTATGTCACAGGAACCTGGGGATGCGGAAACAGGTTCAGAGGACACCATGATGCATCTCTCATCTTTGAATCTAATGTATTTCTGCAGTTACTGGTCAGTCAGTCCACTCTCCCTCAGCCCTCAGTTGTCGCTCACTTGGTACACATCCTGGGTCCTGCACCTTGGAGAGATTTCATTGGGGAGCTTTGGCTTGTTTTCTCTGCTAAGGGTTCTGGGCCTGGATGTTTGGGTCTAGGTGCTGGCTCTCCCTCAACACTCCTTTGCTTCTTAACTTTGTCGGGTGCAGTCTCCTAGGCCAGGCCATCCTTACCAGCACTGGCGAAGCAGGATTTTGAAGCCATCTGGGCAGCTGGAGGGCACAGGCAGATGGAGACTGTTGCTTCCTACGCCCCAGATGATGGCTGAGGAATCTACGTCTTTGTAGGGAATCTCACCAGTCAGTAGTTCCCATAGCACCACCCCAAAGGACCTGGGGATAAGAGAGGATACCATTTGGGAAAAGAGGTTCCCTCCAGAGGTCCTGTTTGCTGCAAATCTATCACTTATACCCAAGTCCTAGAAGTACTGCCCATCAGTCCTCAGCCTGGTGCTTACCAGATGTCAACCTTCTCAGACACAGGCTCATTGCGGATCACCTCAGGAGCCATCCAGGCTACTGTCCCTGCAAAGGACATCTTGGTGCTCTTGTCACTCAGCTCCTTGGATGTGCCAAAATCTGAGATCTTCACCACATCGTCGTATGTGATCAGCATGCTGATAAAGAGTGTAGTCAGCTGGGGTCCATACCTTTCCACACACCCCGTCTAACTGCTGAGATTCTGCCTTTCTATATATCATTTGGGACACTTAAAAGAAGCTTGCCACAGTCCTCCCAAAGATCTGTCACTTGAAGTTTCTGAGATGGCCACATGGACTTGGGGCAAGACCTAGAAACAGGTGGCCACACTCCCTTAGGTAGGCCACCTTACATGCACATCAGCTTGCTTGCTTACTCACTTGGGGGACTTGAGGTCTCTGTGAATGATCTTGTGTAGGTGCAGGTAGTTCATGCCACCGGCGATGCCCATGGACCAGTCAACCAGCAAGGAGGGGGTGACAGGGCGACCAGCCCTGAGTACCTCGTAGAGCTGGCCTTGAGCACAGAACTCCATGAGGATGCAGTAGCAGGGAGCCTGAGTACAAACACCCCTGAAGGCCAAGCAGTAATCGAGACCTTGGTCAGCTTAGTGTCCACCTGTGGCCCACGTTCCCACCCATGCCATTTGGGGATCTCCTTTGAGGAAGAAAGGGGTATATCCACTGCCCAAGAGGGGGCGCCCCAGGGCTCAGCATGTGTTCCCATCCCCAGCCTTGGACCTCACTTGAAAGTGATGATGTTGGGGTGCTTTAGCTTTCGCAGGTGCTTGATATCTGTCTCCTTGAGGTCTCGTACCTTCTTCACAGCCACTTCCTCCCCATGGAAGCGTCCCAGGAAAACAGCACCCTGGGCCCCTGAGCCTACCCACTGCAGGTCCAGGATTTCCTCAAAGGGGACTTCCCAAAGGTCTGTGGGTAGGAGGCACATTGCATAGGCTCACTTAAAAACCTTCACTTAAGGCTTGGACACATTCAAGGCCAGCACTGGATTGGTTGAAATATCTCAGTGGTGAGGCAGGAAGGTTGACAGTAGGCTGAAAAGACTGGGGAGGGAAATAAATTCGGTGGCTTAAGAGGAGGCTGAGTGGAGGCCTAGGGATGTGGCTCAGTTGGAGAGTGCCTGGCTAGCATGTGAGTCCTGGGTTCAATTTTGAAGCACAACTGTGAAATACTAAAGAGGTAGGGAGTGAGGAGGGGTGTTCAGCTCTGGTGAAGTGCTTGTCTAGCATGGACTGTGCTCTGCATCTGATCCCGGCACCAGAAAATACAGAGGGTGGGTGGGTGCTGAGAGGCTGATCAGATAGGTGAGAGTCCTAGTGGGCAGGGAATGGGTCACTGAGTAGGTTCGGTGGGGTTATGAAAATAGATCAGGTGTCTGGTCAGGGGTTCTCACAGGGACCTGGCCTACCTTCCTGCTGCTGTTTGTGTTCTGTGGAGTAGGCTTTGCCAATCATGGTCCAGACAGGGCGTAGGCAGCCAAAGAGACCTTCAAGGAAGCTGCTGCCACTCTGGCACTGCAGTCGCACTTCGTCAGCCCGAACTCTAGATGCCCGACTTTCAGGTGACCCAGTGGCTCCCCCTGGGCCACCTGCATCCTGCTCATGTAGCTGTAGGACACTGTTGGCAAAAGGCTCAGGGGGCGGCTCTCCACCTGGGGAGGGGCTGGGCCCGCCCCCACCCTGCCCTCCCAGAGGTACTACATCTCGAAGTACACACTGGGTAGGTGTCAGGTCTTTTTCAGGGGTGCAGTCTGAAGTGTCTGGGTCCAGCTTGCGCATGGACGCCTCACTTAGGGTAGACACAAAGCCCCCAAAGGAAGGAGAGGGTGTGCGGGTCTCATGGAGGCAGGCCATGGCTTCTGAATCCTGGTGTGCTAAACAGCGGTGGGCCCTGTGGGAATGAAAGAGGGAGGGGCTGTCAGAGGTACAGGCCTGCAATCTTGCTACAAAGATTGGGTTGCGAGCTGAGCTCTGTAGCCCCTTGGAGGCAACCCTTGAGCACCACTCTCAGGTACCTTTTCATGGGAAACAATACGCCCAAGCTTCCTCTCAGTAATACTAGCAAGTAACACTCGAGTATACAGGTAACATACTTGACTTTTGTTATCAGATAAATACAAGTAGCAACACCTCACCCAGGTGTTGGTTAAAAAAAAGTCAGGGCTGGTGAGATGGCTCAGTGAATAAAGGGTGCAAGCCTGAGTGGATTCCTCAGTGGAAAGAGAACTGATCTCTACACATACACGACACAACTTTTTTTTTTAAATTTTGACAATCGCAAATTCAAGTACAGAAGTGGTAGAGTATGAACTTGCTCAGCATGCCCAAGGCCTGGATTGAATCCACCACCAAAAAGTGGTGGTCTGCTTCAGTTGTACTGCATTTGACTGCTGTACTACTGAAGGCCTCCCTGGGTTTCATCTCCACAGCAAAATCAAAAGCTAAGAAACCCAAGTGCAGTGGTACCTAGTTCCCGTCTCCTTGTACAGTTGCTGGCACTAACCCTGGCAGCTCTCATTCCCTTCAGCTGATGTTCTTTGGTGCACAGATGTCAAAGACACCTTTACCTTGGGTCTCAACCTCAGACACACAGTAGCAACATATCTAGACACCTCTTGTGTTGAAGCACGTACAATACTATAGGCACCTCTGATGATGTTCCTAGGCTTACCTCGTCACTAGCTGCTGAGGCCTTGGGAACTAACACTCAGCTCAGGGCTCACATCTGGCTCCTCTCAGTGCTTAGAGGTACACACTCAGGCCACACCAAAGAAAAAATGAGCGTGAGGTGTCCAGAACTGTAACCACAGAGCTCTGCTATTCCCTCGGCTCAGCTGACAAAAGAAAAGGGCAGAACTATGCAGTGGGGCTGTGTGAAGCTGTGGTCTTCAGCCTCATCCTCCAGAGTCCTGTTCTCCAACTGTTAAAGAGGCCCCATTGCCAGTCATAGTGGTGCACATCTTTAGTCCCAGCACTTGGGAGGCAGAGGCAGGCGGATCTCCGTGAGTTCAAGGCCAGCCTGGTCTATAAAGTGAGTTCCAAGCCAGCTGGGGGCTACAGGGAGACCCTGTCTCAAAAAGATAAAGGACTTTTTTTTTTCCTCCCCTTTCCTGTTGTTCCACCCCCAGCTCACCAAGATTTAACTTTCCAGGTAACAGAAATATGTCCCAATTCATAGCTGTGTGCTATTTAAATAAAGCAGTCCCTAAAAACCACAAGTCTAGGGCTGGGCATGGTGGTGCTCACCTTTTATCCCAGCACTCAGAAAATGGAGTCAGGTGAATCTCTGAGTTTGAGGCCAACCAGGGTTACATAGACCCCGTTTCAAAAAATAAAAAGGAATGGGGATGTGGCTCAGTTTGGTTTAATGCTTGCCCAGCATGTACAAGGCCCTGGTTTCCATCTAACACTACAAAAAATGGCATTGTTCACATGCCTGTAATCCCAGCACTTGGGAAGTGAAGGGAGAAGATCAGGAATTCAAGGTCTTCCTTGGCTAAGTAAGTAGTGAATCTGAGGCCATTTGGGTTACATAGAACCCTGTGTCCAAAAATGTAAGAATAGAAATTAAAACCGCAAGTCCAGCTGGTCTTCATTGCACACACCTTTCATCCCAGCACTTAGGAAATCGAGGCAGGAGGATAATGAATTTGAAGCCAGTATAGGCTACAAAAGACCCCACCCCCCAAAGAAATGAAACCCCAAAAGCATACAAATAGGCACAAGGTCCGGGTTCAATCCCTCACTGGCACTATAACAAACTAAATATTAGACTTGCTTCTGCCACTTAATGACTATGTAACCACTGACATATTCTAGTTGAGTGCTCCAACTATACAAAGGGCTGAACTAGCTGTCATTCAGGTACAGCAAACTCCCACCTTTCCAGACTTGTTCAGAAACTGACAAGTCATCCTGTTCTATCTCCACATTTAGTTGGTTATCAAATTATGACATTTAAGGATTCCTGACAAAAATCCCTTTAATGAGCCAGGCAAGGTGGCGCACACCTTTAATCCCAGCACTCAGGAGGCAAAGGCAGGTGGATCTTTGTGTGTTAGAGGCCAGCCTGGTCTACATAGTGTGTTCCAGGACAGCTGGGGCTACAGGGAAACTCTCAAAAAACTAACAAAAATAAAGAGATTTTAATTTTTTCTAGAAAACATAATTAATGGTTCCTTAAGTAGGTCCTTATCCACGCAGCAGTCTTCTGGGGTTGACTCTTTTACACATTGAATCAGAGTGTGTGTGGATGGAGGGTGGTGGTAAAGTTATACAAGAAGTTTGGGAAACTGACAGTTGTAGCTCTCCTAACAATTTCAAGGCCTTTCTCTTGAATATTGTCAGTGGGTTTGGGGTGGGCTTGGGATCTGCATATTTAACCAACACCTCAGTTGATTCTGTGTCTAGCACATCTGAAAATCTTACCCACTGCCATTCTGTTATCTCTTCTCAAGTCCTGTTACTGTTTAAGCCTCATCAGCTAACCTGGGACAAATGCCTCTTAAATCATCTCCAAATTCTGTCTTTATTCTCCATCCAGCTTCAGCAGGATTCAGAACATAAAACTCTTTAGCCCTGTATGCTTCAACTCCGTAGTGCTCACTGCTATTGGGACCCAGGCTGCACAGCTTAGCCTGACACTAAGCTATATCGAGGTTTTGAACCAGGGTGCCCAAAGACAATTTGAACGTTTGCAAAAAGTCTGTTAGCCTCTGGTATAAGTCCATTATAATCCTCAAAACTGTGGTAGGGGAGCTGGGAGTGTAGCTCAGCTGGTAGTGCACAGCAAGAGGCTCTGAGTTCAATCTTCAACATCGCATACCAGCAACACATTGGTAACCCCAGCACTCAGGTGTGAAGGTAAGAGCATCAGAAGTTCAAAGTTATCATTGGTTACATGATGAGTTTCAGGCTGGCCTGGGCTACACAGTGAGACTTGTCTCAACAAAACTAGGAATACACAAGATTGAACATGTCAGCATTCTGTCAAGAAGAGTGGAGGGGCTCACAAGGCCCCATCCCTCCCTCTCTGAGGCTATAAATGCAGCTAATGGTTGCTGCGGGGAGGAAGAGACATTTTCTTTGTGATATAACCATTGATAAGGTGACCGTTCTTCTGTAAATAACCCTTCACTCTGGGCTGTGAGCAGCCCTAATTAAACTCAGTGGGGGTCTGTCTGTCTCTCTCTCTCTCTCTCTCTCTCTCTCTCTCCCTCTCTCTCCACACACACACACACACACGACAATGGATGGGGCACTGAGAAGGGGATAAGCGGGACGTAGGGTAAGGTGGCAGGAAAGGCTTATAAGGGAGTATGATCAAAATACTTTGCATGCAAGAAAATGTCACAATGAAACCCATTAATATATACCAGTAAAAACAAAGACTGTAAGAACACAGTTGGCATTATTTGCCTCATTTTACACACTACCGCACAAAAGTATAACCTTGCTGGTGGCGTCACACCTAGTAAGCAGCTTAAGTTTACCCTCAGGTATGCTCTGCCTAGAAGGCGCTGCTCATCCCCTCTCGCCTTCCAAGTCTCGATTCATCCTGGAAGTCTTCTGGGCTGTTCCAACCCTGTCTAGGTTAATGCCTCTTCTGAGTGGGCACAGCCCTGAGGTTCCCCTTTCGCGGCTCCCATTCAGCTTCTTACAGCACATGGCACTCAGGGAGGCGCCAGCAGAGATGAAAGCACTGCTCTACCCACCCAGGAGCATGCATGCATTGTGCAGCTCTGTTCTCTCCATGGTCAGAACCGCCTAGCATTATTGGTTTTCATGTTCTAGAGAAAACTGAGATCCAGAAATCCGAAACCAGAGTCGAGTTCAGCCTTTGAATCGCCAACATATCCCACGAAATTTGCGGCGTCGAGAGCGAAGGTGTCGATTGTAAAGCAGATCAGTCAAACTTAGACCAGCCTGGTCAACACAGCGGATAATTTCCTCCAAATGACCCAAGGCCTCCCTCACCACGGTCTCAAGTCTGCGCTTTCCTTCTGGACCACCTAGAACCACAGATGGGGCTCTCGGACCGACACTCTCGGCGCCGCTGGGCAGGAGCAAGGAGAGTGAGAGTAAGCGGTCCCGCCAGCGTGAAGGGCAGGGCCCACCTGCTGGACCACCTGGTCCGCCAGCGATGGATCCCCAAGCCCAAGCCAGGCCCACTAGAAGCGGAGAGGAAGGGGTTACCGCCACGGCGTCCCCTCCCCGCGCCGACCTCTCCTTCCCGGCCGTCACGTGCCGTAGGGCCGGGTGCGTGGCCGCAGGAGGGGTCCCGGTGGGGAGAGGGGAGCACAGCGGGCTGGGGGAAGGGCTAGGCGCTGCGGCGTAACCATGACGACTGGGCCCGTGGCGCGCGTGAAGTCACCAGGACAAGATTAGCCTAAGGTCACGTGAATGCGAGGTGGGGGCGTGGCCGTGCCAGAGCCCGCCCCTGACCTGGACAGGCGGGGGTGGGGCGGGGTGGGGT